GATCAGGCTCATTCCAGCCCAAAACCCCTTAAGTGCTGATTTTCTTTAGGGAAGTTTGAATTAAAAACGGGGCAGGGAAAGCTGCTGGATCCACAGGCACGAACACCTAGGATTTACTGTGCAATGCCAAGGGCTCCACRGTCATTCTGTTTTCACCAAGCATTTCCAGACACCTGCACCCACCCAGGAGAAGCACCAGGAGCTCTGCACYCTCAGCCTTGCTTTTGGCTACCAAGATCTGCAAATGACACTGGAAAACCATAAAGGGCCATCTGCTTGGAACTCCTGCAAAGTTTTGGGCTGGAAATGCTGCACCAACAGAGAGCAGCTGAGTCACTGAGCTCAGGTGGGATCTTCCTGCCATTCCCTCACTGCCTTCTCTACCCCGGGGCAGTACGATCTTCCTTTGCTTTCTTTTTCCTTTTTTTTTTTTTTTTTTTTTTTCTTTTTTTCTTTTTTTCTTCTATGGAGCTAATGCTTCTGAGAGTGAGTGCCCAAGAGCACTTACAAGAGGCAGGGTGCTGCTCTGAAAGCTCCTGCCTCCCTCCCCGTGGCTCTGCAATGATTCCCAGACATTTATCTGCAGCATCCCCTGCCCACCTAGTCCGAAATGACGATCATCCTGCTTGCCTCGTGGTGTAATTATTGTTCTCCATAAATCACCCCCAGCCTGTCCATCCCTCGGGCCAGGGCCAGCTGGGTGCACCCACCTGTGGTTTGGTGTCCCTGGCAGGACAATGTCCTGTCCCAAAGACCCCAAGGCCTCTCTCTGTGTTGTTGCTGGTCTCGCAGCTCCAGCACCAAGATCTCCCTTCTGGAGCCCTGAACACCTTGCTGCTCCCCTGCAAATCCCTCCTGAAGGCTGTTCCAGCTCCCACAGCCCTGGCCAGACCCTTTGGGTTGGTTTTTTGACCCTCTGTGGTCCCTGCAGGTCCCCCTGGCACTGTCCCACACCTCTCCAGCGTGGTGTGACCCTGCAGCTGGCATCGAGAGGGGACTGTCCCTCGGGCTGCTCCCCCTGACCAGGATGGTTTTCCTGTGGAGATGCTCCCAGATTTTTCCCTCATCCCCACACGGGTCCAGCTTTGCCCTTTGGTGTCCCCCCATCAGGGGCACTCCTTGCCACAGCACCACCCCTGGGAGCCGAGCTGCTCACGGGCCTGATGGGTTTCCAAGGGCATGGGGAGAGGCAGGAGACAGTGCCTGACGCTTCTCAGCCACTCAGCTCGGCCCAGAGCTAACGAGGCATCTCAAAATTAAAAAGTGAACTGCAATCCCCAGCAGGCCTGTCCTCCTTTTGGCATTAGGCGGAGTTCTGTTTCTCTCTCTCAGGGAAAAAA